ATGGCTTCCCATTAAAAATATAGCACGCAAACCGTATCTTCGTGCCTTGTTCCATCTTTCCTGTATAGTTAACTCCGAAAAGCTCGGAGAAGATTAAACCAGATGGTTTTCAGTACAAATGACCTCAAGGTAGTAGGGTCTCCGGAATCAGAAGTAGTCCAAAGGGATCTGGACCTTCTTCAAAACTGGGCAACTGTCTGGGAGCTACCACCGAACGTAAGTAAGTGCAGGCAGCTTCTACTGGATCCAGATACCAGCGAAAGGAGGTTCTTGGTACCCTCCGGTTCTCAATACATCGACAGAGCTACAGTGGTCCAGGACCTTGGTGTACAAGTAAGCGAGAACTTTAAAACCTCCGGCCAAACTATAGCTGCTGCATCAAGGGCAAATAGAGCACTGTTTCAACTCCTAAGGACAATAGCCTCCAGAGACTCAAAAGTGCTGTTACCACTGCACAAAATCTGGTAAGGCCGCATCTAGAGTATTGCATTCAGTCTTGGGCTCCAAGTCTGGTTCAAGATTCCCAAACACTAGAACAGGTACAACGCAGGTTTACTCGGATGGTCGCTGGTATGAGGGTTGCCGTATGAAGAAAAGATAAATAGACTAAACTTATTCTCCTTACAACGGAGAAGACTACGTGGTGACTTGATTGAGGCTTATAAACAAATGAAGGGAAGCTCGGCCACGAGCAGGGTTCTCTTAGGATGCAGTAAAAACTCGGCACTCAGGGGCCTCGAACGGAAATTGATGAAGCCAAGGGCATTCAGAAGCATTAAAAAAAAGTTCTTTGCCCATAGAGTAATTAACCCTTGGAATAAACTGCCTCAAGAGATGGTCGCAGCACCAGCGTTAGTCCAGTTTAAGTCCAAGTTAGACAAAAATTGGGCCGCGGTATTCCCAGAAGTAGCTGTATAATCGGAGAGGTTTTATCCACGGTCTGACCGTTCTGAAGCTCGGCGTGCTCTACTCTTACATCTCTCACCGTTTGCACCTGGGTTCATACCACGATTAACAACTGACTGGCGGTAAGTCTGTAGGAGCATACCGGTCTGCAAGCAGATATGCATCGCTGACCCTGCATAGGTGGAAGGAGCATAAAGAAGTGTCCTCCGAAATTAACCCAAGCCTTACAAAGGTCAGGGTAGACAGGTGAGGACGGTGAGCCCTATGTGTACTTCTTATCAGAACGACTGTGAGACCAAACGGATGCAGGGATGCTGATTTGCCCCTAGTAGAAGACCTGTAGTGAGCGAAGCTCGGGACAACAAACACAATAACGACTCACCGTGGCGTCCACATCTCTGATTGAGTGACAACCCTACCCCTTTGACCACTCCCCGCAACTCGAGAGGTGAGTGGTAGAAGACCTGTAGTGATTGGAGTTGGGGACAACAAACGCAACTATGATTCACCGAGGCGGCCACTACTCCAATTGAGCACCGACACTGTCCCGAATATGTACCAAATGTGGAGACGAGAGCGAGATAAATAAGGGGTGATAGGTAGAGGTTTAATTAAGATGAAAATCACGCACCTGTTTTGACCAATAACGGACTGCAGCACGAACAGGTAGATGAGGGAATAGAGGGATACTATACCAACCACCACCATCCTCCTTAAACGGATCCAGGCTGGGCCCTGGATGGAATACAGCTGGCACGTTTTGCCCTGGGAACCTGATAGGGTCAGCGATGCCACCGTGCTGTAGACAGACTCAGATGGCTTAATAGTCAAAAGGGTACCTGCTGTGTACCACCACCATACGAAAAGCCCTGGCAACCTGGGCACAACCAGCTCACAAGCACATCTTAATGTGTGTGCTGAAAGACGAACACAGGAGAAGCGGAGTCTGGTGAATGCGAGAGCATTCGGGAAACTCGGACGACAGACCATAGTTGGAAGCAAATCTCCTAAACTGGGGACCTCCTGAAATGCTTTCACTTACCATATCATCCACTTTACTTTCATGACTACTTAAATAACTCCTTAACAAGCATACTTCGCACCCTGTCGGGTGTATTCAAATAATCGCAAAATGAGGAAAACTTTAATGGTATAGCATTGCGTAATGATTGTAGTAGTAGTAGTAATACGCACGGAATTCGGAACACCAACCACGCAATATGATTTACAGGACCCGAATCGATAATCAGCTATCACGGACTGAATCGCAGAAGCAACGTCCCACGGGAACGAGACGCGAGGAAAAGGCCAGAGGACAGGCAGCAAGTAGTTCGTTTATTGGAAGAAATGAAGATGATCAAATAATATGTACAAAGGGAGATTATTGGCTACCTGGGCATCCACCAATTTGATTGCAGCACTGCTTGCATAATCTTGCTTCTGACTGCATTGTCTAGGATTGGCTGGCACCATCCGCCAATGACGTGTATTCAGAAGCTATGCGCGTGCTATTGGCGTCAGCATTCAAACTTGATTGATCGCCAATGTCCTGAAACTGTAACGCGCCGCTCCAGGGTAGGCGCCATCGTATAGGCCTGGATCACCACAACTCTCCTCCCTCAAAAGAGCTTC